ATCGTTGGAATCCAAGATCCAGTCCGACCAGGTTTGCGCTGTCGTTGAGCGTAAATGCTTTGTAACGCAGTGACGGTCTGAGCGGACCCACTGTAATCAAAATCGCTTCTTTTTTTTTTTAACGTGACGGCTAGTGCTGTTGACTTATAACAAGGGAAGACGAAGAGTAGTGAGAATGTTGTCAGAAGACGGAGTGGAATTGGTGGCCAGTTCCTGCATCATGATTCCGTGCCTAGGATAAACCCCTGTATGCATTTGTATGTGTGAATATATGCGTGCATGCATATTTGTGTGTTGGTCCGTCCAGCCATATGGATTGCTGCATTTCTTCGTTAACTTATTTTCTAATCACTGCATACGGCAAATTCAGTTTGCTGCTTCCAAGATTCGCTTGTAAATCCAGACATGTTCGACGTGCTTTCACAACGGCTCCAACTAACATTCGGACTTCTGGTATGGAGCTGCTGACCGTGCGGAACAGTTGCATTTCATGTGCAGTGAGTGTGCGCTTTTTTGCCTCCCTTCTGTCCTTGCGCTCCGCATAGTTCTGCTTTTTAATACGAGTGGGGGTTGTCGTTTGTCGTGGTCGCTTTCATATCACATTGCCATTGCTTGAGTCATCTCGGATGCGAATTTGCACGTGAGCGGACTAATTCGTAATTCGCATCCAATCTTGCCCGACGACAGTCGTGAGCTTTTTGTCGATGCCTGTTTACATTTGATCAGTCTGTTAAGAAGTCAAGAAATCTGCACATACAACATCCACCGTATAAGGAGAGTTTGTTCGTAGTGGAATCTTCCTCTGTACTGATATGGGCTATCAGGTGCATTACACTGAGCACATGTCACTGTTTGGCGGAATAATTTAGCTCACTCCGGGGATGGGTTATTAGGTGCCTATTGAACTTGCAGTCTTATTGAGAGCGCAAAATTCCGGTCAGCTTTTAATCTTTCGCTGTTTATCAGCGTTCAAAATATTGCGAACAAAAGCTCTCATTTTTATCAGGATCCGCAAGCAAAACTTTCGCGTTTTCCTGAATGAATTTGTGAGATCGGTTTTTGCATTTTACTGGCCGTATCTTAATAAGTATAAAGGGCATATTAAAACAAATGTCTAATAAATGTTGACAGTTTCTGATTAGTTTCAAATGGTATTTTTCGCGCTAATTGCTGGGTAAATCCGGATATATTTTG